TTAATTAAAATTATTTGCATCCTTTTCTTATCTTGTGCTAGATTATACAGGGTTTCCAGCCAGGTAGCAAGTCTTAAGGTGAGATTGGTTGACCTGAACTAGGCTTGCCTAACCCCAGAGAGCTTTAGGGATGGAGGGAGCTGTAAGAGAAGGAGAGGGGGAGGCGGCGAGCAAAGGCGCACTTTTTCCCTCCAGTGCCTGAGCCACGTTGATGTTGTCTTACTTGAACGAGCACCAAAGGAGGCCTGACTCAACGTGAAAGGATGCATTTATTTACCAGCGTTTCCTACTCTTTGACTGTGCACATTTTGCAAAGCCCATTTCTTTGTCACTGAAAAAAAGGTTTTTTGGCTAAATTAACTTTTAAGTCACATGAGACTGAGCCAACATGGAGCGCTACAAAATCATAGGAGCCTTTCTTAAATTAAAATAGCCAAGTGTGAGGCTGCTGTGCCATCATTCCCCCGGCCTGCACACTCCTGAAGGCCGGCTTCCCTTCTCTCAGACCCCACCCTCACACCAGCCTTGAGGAACGCTAGTTGTGTCCCCCGGAAACGTCCTTCCTGTTTAGGGGGGAAAATGAGACTGAAGGGACAAGGTCAGGGTTGGGGAGGGGGTGAGCTCATGGTGATTCCTGAGGGACGCCACCTGCTCCCCTAGAAGCACGAGCAGGCGCCTTACCTTGGTGGGAAAATGCCCCGGTGGGGCTTTCCCAGCCCTTGGCCCACAAGGAAGTTTCCATTTCAAAGCCCTATGATCCTCCTCTATCCTTTGAGAAAATCGTTCAAGATTTCCCCCTTTGAAAGGTGGAGAGAAAAACAACCACCCAAAAAATCCAGTTGTCAGTGCCTTCCGAGCTGACCTCTCTGTCTTGAATTTAACAGACCGAGCTGTTTTGACTGGACCTCAGCTTTCAGAGGGGCGTACTGGTTACATGTTGGGCTGTTAACCATAAGGTCAGCAGTTCAAAACCACCAGCTGTTCTGTGGGAGAAAAGCAAGAGTCTCAACTCCCATTAAAGAGTTACAGTCTCGGGCAGTTCTAGGGGGATGGGGCAGCCCCACCCTGCCCCTACAGAGTTGCTGTGAGTCACAATCCGCTCAATGACCATGGGTCTGGTTTGGTTTTGGAAACAAGACTAAGTCAAATATCTGACTGAGCGAACTGGACTGTAGCCATCGACGATCCCGGAGATACACGACCCCGGTGATACACGACCCCGGTAGCAAAGCTTTTCTCTCACCCGCGATGTTCTACAACCTTTATCCCGTTTGAACAGGTGAGGAAAGTCAGGTTCAGAATAACTCGTCATGTTAGTCTCAGCCAAGATCGATGCCACTTCTTTTTTGGTTAGCCAACTTTCCCGAATGATGATGTTCACGCCTCCGTCTAAGCAGAGTTGTAAGCTTTAGAGATAGGGGGTGGTGTGTGTGTGTTGCATGCCAGACCCAGAGGTGGCTCCTATATGCCCAAACAAGGCCTGGTGGCACAGTGGTTAAACACTTGTCAAAAGGCCCGCAGTTGGAGCCACCAGCTGCTCCAGGGGGGAACGCTGAGGCAGTGTGCTCCCGTCAAGACAGATAGCCTGCGAACCCCGATGGGGTGGCTCTGCTCTGGGTTGGAATCAGCTCCAGGACTGCGGGTGATTACGTGCCAGGAGCAAAGAGTATGCCAGCGAGTTCTGCGGGGTTCTTTTGGTCTGGTGCTTCGGGGTTAGTTGCACGTGTTATGCTTTTACTTGTCAAGGAGTTGGTGCATATGCGGTTCTCCTTCCGAGAACTGGCAAAGTGACATGAAATTAACTTCTTCATCCTTTTCTGTTCCTAATTCCTGAAATACCTTCATAGTCACGATGTGGTGTTAAAAATACTAAAGGACTAAGGAACACTTACTTAGGTTTGTGTTCTTTTTCATTAACAGTCTCTGATATTTGATGAAGTGGACCTCTCAGATGCCAGCGTTGCCGAAGCAAGCACCAAAAATGCCAACAACAGCTTCACGGTAGGATGACACCGGTAACTCCTATGCCACAGCCCTAGAGCGACTCCCACCAACAATGGACAGAACGACTTCTCTGATGCCCCCAACAGTGTGTCGCCAGGAGCACCGGGGTCATTACCAGCTCCATAAACTCGGGGAAAGTGCACTGTGTTTTCTGAAACCCAACACTGTTCCAGAGTGTTTGGTCCTGTGGGTGAACTTGGAGCTAATTATATGCGTATATCACCACCACCACCCCTTTAAGGCCTTTTAATGTTAGCG